ACCTGACCCAATAAATTATCTTGTAGGTAGATATCAATATGGCAATAACACAACATTTTTTTGAACATTAAACTCGCGAATTTTTGACGGTAAATAATTAAATTGATACGCCATAATATTATAGTAACATTATAATTATTGAATTTTTTTATATATTAGGTATTTAATACATCATATTGTTGTAGTATATTGTATATTATTATACCGTACTTTATTTTCTATAGGACTTTTTTAACGCGTATTGTTTGCACGTGGGTTTTTTCGATAGTTCAATTTTGTATCAAGTTATGCGTATATAAAAAAGCGTAAATTAAAAATGTTCACAACTTACTTAAAAACTAAATTATCGTAAAAAACTCACACAAAAATAATGTTCTTRTCGTCAAGTATCATCATAATAAGTCAATTTACTCTAATTTTTAAACTAACGGAGTTAAATATAAAAACGTAAATTCGCTATGTTACCCACTTGTGAGACGGAGACAACAAATATGCGTGTCAGTCGTGTCACGTCCTCTTAAGAGTTAAAAACTTGGTGATAAACAATGGGAAATGTATAAAAAATTTGTCATTGTTGATCTTTCGCGTATAGATTACTCATTTATAATTATAGGGATTAGATACGAACATTTAATAAGCACAGATGTCGAGTATAGCACTGCTGTCACGTGCTCAGTACTTACTTCGAAGTTGAATGAATTAGATAGTCGAGTTTATCCAGATAATACATTTCGGGTGTCACTCATTTGTCTCTTTAGGTTTATCAATATTTTTTAATTAGATGAAATATTTGCAGTTTTCATGTATTTAAATGTCTTGCGTTTATCTATATAAATGTAATTAAAACTTAAGACATAAGAGGACGTGATACCGGCATGTGTTGTCTCAGTCTTACTCTTACAAGTGCGTAACATGACAAATTTTACGCTCAGCAGATCACGCTTTGCTCCGTTAGTTTAAAAGTTAAGAGTGAATTGATCTCTCATAAAATTTAAAAGTTAGAATATTATTTAGACRAGACGACCTCGTGGACTTTTACTTTATTTTAAATTTGAAGCGAGTAATACGTGTTTTAAGATGTAGGTACAAAAAATTTACAATTTTAAAAAATAACTCGCTTTATAATTAAAATATAGTAAAAGCCCACGAGGTCGTCTAAATAATATTCTA